GTATGGCTAGAAAACCACAGAAGCAATATTACATCCCTCTGTGGTGTCACATGGGAGGAACAAATGTCTGCCTCTTATCAGTGATGTTAATTTTGATTACTTTGTTAAGGTCTTGCCCATTTTCTCCACTTCCTTTTTTTTCTTTCGTAATTAGTAAATGTTTTTGGTGTACAGTAACACTGTTCTTAATAGCAGAAAGCAGAAATAACCTGTCCATCAACAAGAGTGAACTTTTTTTTTAAGTTGAGAGTATGTGCACATAGAAGAATATTTTACAGCAGGGGGAAATGAAAGAATTATAGCTGTACATAACACAGTTCAGGCTTTTAAAAAAATGGAGAATGATTCCATTTCCTTAAAGTTTTAAAATATGCTAAAGTACAGAAAATATTATTTAAGAGTGCAAATAATATAGTCTTACCTCATACAAACACTCAGGGTAAAACTGTAATGAAAAATGATTCATACACAAAAATCAGATGGTGATTGCCTGGAAGGTGGAAGGAAAGGCATGGAATTAGGAGAGGGTCACATAGGGGAAAGAGGATGAGAGTGAATATGAAGACATTCGCTGCATCATTTTCTATACCATACATATATTTTTAAGATACTATTTTATAATTACTTGTTACTTTTAAATAATTTTTAGAAAAAAGATTGCAATTGTGATATAAAGAAAATAACACAGGTTAGGGCGGCCCGTTGCTCAGTTGGTTAGAGCGCAGTGCTCATAACACCAAGATTGCCGGTTCGATCCCCACTTGGGCCACTGAGTTGTGCCCTCCACAACTAGATTGAAACAACTACTTGACTTGGAACTGATGGGTCCTGGAAAAATGCCCTCCACAAATAGATTGAGAAACAACTATTCGACTTGGAGCTGATGGGTCCTGGAAAAACTGTTCCCCAATTAAAAAAAAAAAAAGTAAGCAAATAAAACAGGTGAATGGATGGAGTGGGGGAAAATTGCATGAAGAGGTGATATTTGAACAGAAACCTGAATGGGGGGAAGGAGCCTGTGGAGAGAGCTGAGTTGGGAGGAGAGTTTACCTGGTTCCCTGGAGTCTCCTGCCTAGAGAGTCTGTGACCATCTTGCTTGGGACTTGATATCCTGAGTGTGTGGAGAACATGAAAAAGGCCAATTCTGAATTGGCAACAATTCAAAAACACACACACAAAGGGAATATGTCCAATAAACATAAAAAAGTTCATCCCACTAGCAATAAAAACAATGTAGAAGCATCTCACACAATGTCTCAATTATACAAGATGCTACTTCCTCTTGTGCTTGCCTTGCCAGCTCCTGCCAAAAGGCCTTGCCCGAGGCTGTTAGTTTAGATTCCACTTCAGACGTCACTTCCTCAGAGACCCTTTCCTTTCTTTGCTGTCCTCCCTAACTAGACCAAATCAGAATCTCACAGAACTTGTGGTGATTATTTTAGGTAAAAATTTATCAAAGTGTATACTTTAAATACGTGCAGTTT